CACACACACACACACACACACACACACACACCCCGCTATGCTGGCGGTGGGATCCAATACACACTTAATTCGACAGAGACTGGCAGATAGAGCCAAACTCTCTCTCTCTCTCTCTCTCTCTCTCTCTCTCTCTCTCTCTCTCTCTCTCTGCCTGTGAGACAGCGCTATGTTTAGATGGTTCCCACAAAAACACAGAGCCTTCCCCACTGTACCCAAAGAAGAAAAAACAATTCAATCCTCTTCTTCAGCCTCAGGAGCCTCAACCTTTTCTCTCGCCCTTTCTTAATCTCAGACCGCAGATATTTAGAGCTTCTGTGTGACCACGCGATAGCAAACGGATGACGGCGACAGCAGCAGCAGCAGCAGCAGCGGCAGCTCCATAGCTGAAGGACAACCAAAACAGGGACACCAACGCACACAGCAAGAAGCAGCAGCAGCAACCACAATGAGTGTGAGCACGGAGCACGGAAGCAAATATGCAGGGCAGGCAGGCAGGCAGGCAGACAGACAGTCGGGTAGGAATGCACCTACAACACATACAACTTAGCTGGGCATCCATCATAGCCACCACCTTCAATCATCACCATCATCGCCATCATCATCACCACCATCACCATCATCATCATCATCATCATCACTACCAGAATCATGCAGGCACACTACCTGGCGTGGTACCTATAGACGGAAGTCTCTATCTTCTTCTTCTTCTTCTTCTTCTTCTTCTTCTTCTTCTTAGGCTACCTAGATGCAAATCTCTATCTTCTTCTTCTTCTTCTTCTTCTTCTTCTTCTTCTTCTTCTCTCTATCTACACGTGCAAGTCCCTATCTTCTTCTTCTTCTCATGCAATCCACCGATGCAAGTCTGCCTATCTTCTTCTTCTTCTTCTTCCTCCTCCTCCTCTTCCTCCTCCTCCTCACCGTTGTAGTCATCATCACAACCATTATCATCATCATCATCATAAGAAGAAGAAGAAGAAGAAGAAGAAGACGAAGAAGAAGACGACGACGAAGAAGAAGAAGAAGAAGAAGCCAGGCAGGCTGTTCGGCATGTGCTGCTTAACCCAGTGTGAGGACGTCTGGCGTGGTCTGGTTAACCCTGCATCAAGACCCATCGCCTTTAAATCATCTTCACCCTCCCATCATCACCACCTCCTCACCTCCTGAATAATATGCCGCTGCTACTGCCGCTGCTACTGCCGCTGCATCTGTTGATGTCAATAACTAAGGTACGACGCTACGAGTACCCCGGGCGACCCTTTTTCACAGGCGCGTATTGTTTGTTAAACTTTTTTTTTTTTTTTTTTTTTTTTTTACAGGCGCATTTTTTTTTTAACTGACTCTGCCGACAATTATTCC